GTTGGTGCCTGGGCCTTTGGCTTGAGCAGCTGGGAAAATGGTACCGTTCAATGGCGTGGAGAAGACTTGGAGAGGAGAGTTGTGAAGGGCAGCCTCCAGGGTTCTGTCTCAGGCATGGTAACTTAGAAAGGCCTCCTAGGAGACAATCAAGAATGTAAGTCGCAGTCTGGAGTTTGGGGGAGCGATCTAGACTAGATGTATAAATTTGGGGGTCATTAACATATAGCTGGGCCTACATCTATGGAATAGTGAAGCTGTTCATGGATTAGACACGGACAAGAAAAGAGGCCCCCTGACTGAGCTCTAACACTGAGAAGGACCCCAAGGGCAGGTGTCCTGAAATCTGAGACGGGGAGTGTTTTAAGACAGGGAAGGTGGTCGACTCTGCTGAACGCAGCCGAATGGTAGAGCACGCTGAGGGGACAGTTGTGACAATGTGGTTTGATGACTAGATGACTGTTATCTTGGCAAGACCAGTTCCAGTGGAGCAGAAAGGACTGGGGTTTGATTGGACTAGGTGGAGATGAGACAGGAGATGAGGAATTGGAGATATTTATTAAAGGTGATTTTTTTAAAAGTTTTGATGTGAAGGACAGCTGAGGCATGGTGGTTCTTCTTAGAGGGCGAGGAAATGTCAAGAGATTTTTTGAATTTTTATTTTTATTCTTACATTTTAAGAGATAGATGACAGTGAGGCATGCTTGCAGGCCAATGGAAATGACCCAGTAGAAAGGGAGATTATATGCTATAGGAAATTAAATCGGGAAATATGAAGATAAACACAAAAAAATCTCCAAGAACTCAGAAGAAAAGGTTAAAGAGATGAAAATATTAGGAGGAAAGTAGGATTAAATCATAAATTGCCCGTGTGTGTGTGTGTGTGTGAGATCCCAATGAAATCCCAGAGAGAAATGCTGTCTAATTGATACGCCCAGAATTTGTTCTAGCCAAGGCAATAAGAAAATAAAAAGAAACAAAGTGTAAATACTGTAAAAGAAGAAAGAAAATAATCCTTCCTCTCTCTGTCTTTTAATTAATTTTTTTGCAAATGACACCATTGCCTACATGAGAAATCCAAAAGAATCAGCTGGAAACAATTAAGCTAATATTTAGTAAAGTGAGTTGTTACAAAATGAACACAAAATGAGTATTTTCCTACAGTCGATAATAACGATCTGTTCGAAAATATACTTTAAATTTTTCATTTAAAATTGTAATAAAAAATATAAAATATCTAGGAATGAACTTGATGAAAAATGCAAGACTTACACAGAAAACAAAAAAAATTACTGAACGTACATAAAAACAAAACTTGATGAGATGGAGAGAGACATACTATGCTTTTAAACTGAAATAATCATCAGCAAATTATGTTACTAATCCTTTAATTAATTAATTAGTTTTACACAGTCCAATCAAAACCCTAAATAGATGTCTTGGGAAATTCATAGAATGATTCTAAAGTTCAGAATAAATGAAAAAATATTAGCCAAGGCAATATAGAAAAAGATCAAATGGGATAATATTGACTTTGTAGATATTAAAATATAAACTAAAATAATTACAACAATGTGATGCTGATTTAGGAATAAATAAACAAATGAAGCAAAATAGGAAATCTAGAAAGAAACCTATGTTCTAAATATAGGTGTATTTAATATGTGATCAAGCTGTCATCAAATGTATGATATTAAATCTACAATTGAGTTATTTCAAATCAGTGGGGAAATGGTAGATTACTTTATGTGCTATTGACACAACTGGCTCAACACGTGTAATAAATAAACTTCAGTCTCTATTTCTCTCATACACCCAACACTTCCAGATTTAAATGTGAAAATGAAAAAATATCTTTAAAAATTGATTTAAGAAAATTATAGCAGTTCATATAATGAAATACTCCATTAGCGTTAGAGTTTTATATTTTAATATGGGAGAACATTCTCAATTGTACTAGTAACCGAAATGAGTAAGTTGCAGAATAGTTTGATATCATCTAAAATGTGCAGGAAAACTTTATATATTTCACTATATATATATTTATAGATATATTTGCACATGCATAGGAAATATCAGGAAAAGTACACACCAAACTGTTAACAGTAAATGGCATGAAGGAAAGGATTATGTATTTAGGTATAATTTTGAAACTTTTCTATGACAAATAAAGCAAAATAAAATTCAATGATAATAAGCTGGAAGGAAATATTTACAAGATCTATGAAAAAGGATTAATATCCTTACTATATAAAGTAGTTTTTAAGTCAATGAGAAAAAGAGTTATAACCCAATGGAAAAATAGACAAGTGACATGGGTAGACAATTCATAAAATAAGAAACGCAAATGATAAATAAAAGTATGATCAATGCAAGTATGAACAAATGTTGATTTCAAAGATACACAAATAATAAAGTCTCATTTTTGCCTA